ATTCCCATCTGTACCGCTGTGCATCATCTGGTCTAACCAGGTCTGCAAGGCAGAATTGGGGTCATGGTAGTTGGGGGGAGGAAGCGTTCAAGAACTAGAGGAAGGCTGTGGGTTTCATTATTGCTACACTGTACCCTAAGTGACTCATCTTGGAGACCCAATGCCCATCTCTAGACAACTGGACATACCTTGCAGAGGGGTAGTGGGGAGATGAGTCACGACTTAAGTCTTTCAATGACTGAAGTGATCGATGAATTATAGGGAGGAATACATTCACAGTGATCACATTAGTACATATTAAAATTAATCTCCAAGACACAATAATGATTAGCTATCTTGTATGTCATTCAAGGGCATTGAGTAGGAAGATTATGTACTCATTATCAGAACTCATTATAATAATCCACAAAAATACTAGATCCACAGGCAGGGAAAACATGGAATTGTAGTCACTACCAAAGAACATGATGTAGGGAGCTCTTCCATGGATGGACGCACACAATCCAAGCCACAGTTGGCACGTACATATCTAGGGATCAGGAATGGGCTCAGAGTGCAGCCATGTGTTGTCCTCTTGCAAGCAAGGTTGCCAAGACTCAGAGCTGGCAACCCAACAGCAACTGCACATGTGCATTTCACTTTCAGTGAGTACTGTCTTCCCAGCATGTTACATACTAATTTTGAATAGAATTCTTGGGGGTGGAGGGAAGCTGAAAATAACCCCTTTAGGAAATAATTCACCCTATCCTTTGTGCTGGTCTTTTCCAGCCTTACCTAAAATGTCTTCCCTTCATCCCCAAACTCAAAATCTCACTGCCATTGAGTCGATGCCAACTCAGAGAGATCCACAGACAGGGCAGAACTGCCCCCCGGGGTTGCAGAGACTGTAACCCTTTATTCGAGTAGAAAGCCCCATCTCCCCCCTGCTGAGCGGCTAGTGGTTTTGAACTGTTGGCCTTGAAGATCACCACCCAAAGCATAACCACTACACCACCAATGTGCTCTTGTTTCTACCTTAATTTCCAAATGTCATTCGATGAATCTTTGGATCCTATTTACTACGTGTAGTTTTGTTTAATTTAGGGAAGCAGATGCTTGAATATAATTTTAATCTGTGTGAGATGTAGCCTAGCAACCACTCTTATTGGTGCTGTTGGGTTGGTTTGAACTCCTAAAGGCCTGATGTGCAAGAACAAGACACATTGCCTGTGCCTGGAGCATCCTCACAACCATTCTGCTGTTTGCACGCACTGTGGTGGCCCCTGTGTGAATCCATCTTGTCGGGGGCCTTCCTCTGCTTCCCCGTCCCTCTGCTTTGCCAAGCACGCTGTCCTTCTCCAGGGACTGGTCTCTCCTGGTCACATGTCCAAAGTACCCGGGCAGCGGAACTCAAGTGCGCCGGCTCTCCTTCAGACTTGCCTGGCAGTGGGACACATGGTGGCATGTGCTTCATTTGAAAAAATCCCATTGGCCACCATCTGAATAAGGAAACAATACATTTTCCACACACGTAGGATTTCCTTTGTAAACCGTTTGCTGTCAATCCGGCGGCAGTGTAGAGATCACAGTTTGATGTTCCGCAGCTCACACGCCGATTCCACTCATCCATTGTAATCCCCGCAAGAAATCACTTCTTATTCCCCTTCCTACTTGCACATGTTCAAGTGGGAGAGTCTCTGAGAATGGCCGGAAACTGATCGGCAAGAGCCTGAAGTGGACCTGGGTTGTACATGCTGTGTAATTGTATGATGGGGCGGCAATGAGGCCAGTACGCAGGAAACGAGCACCAGTCTGTGTGAGGAAGAGCATTATGGGATAAAAGGAAGAAGGGATGTCTTTTCAAAATTTAAGACTGAGAGTAGAAAATCTTAGAAAATTCTTCATAGAGAATGTCCAGGAAAAGTAGAAACAGGGTTTGGAACGACAGCTTGGGAAAGGCCTTGGTGATCAAGCCTGGGAAAAAAAGACAGCTGGGAATGTGGCGGACCAGTAAGGAAACCGAAACCAGTAGCTCACAGTCTATGATCAGAGTGGACGTTGACAAAGGCAGATTTTCAGTAACAGACAGCTCAGCAGGACCCTAACTGGGTCCTCTAGTTCGGTGACACAAAGCCCACTCCCATCAAGCCCATGCTGACCCAGTGGTCCCATAGGACAGAGTAGAACTACACTTCAGGGACTCAGACGACTTCTTTACAAGAGCAAGACAGTTTCATCTTTCTCCCGCTAATGGGTTTGAACCACCAACCTTGTGATTAGCAGCCCAAAGTCTAACCCTCAAACTCAATCACCACTGTTTTTTAAATTGGTTTTTATATGTTTCTTATGACTCTCCCCTTCTCCCCCGTTACACGGTAGTGGTACAGTTGTTTAATGATCGGCCGCTAACTTAAAAAGTTCAGCTGTTCAAGCCCACAAGCCACTTCCCAGGAGAAGGATGAGGCAGTCTGTGTCCATAATGACTATGGTCTTGGAAACCCTGTAACGGCCATTCCACTCTGTCCCATAGGGTCATGATGACTCAGAATTGGCCCGATAGCAATGAGTCTGGGTACTTATAAATTTATATATACACACACACACACACACACACACACACACATATATATACATATATAATCAAGCACAATCTAAACCAGCGATTCTCAACCTGGGCGTTGTGACCTCTTTGGAGGTTGATCAACCCATTCACAGGAGTTGCCGGATTCATCACAGTAGCAAAACGACAGTGATGAAGTAGCAATGAAAATAATGTTATGGTTGGGGGTCACCACCACATGAACTGTATGAAAGGGTCGCGGCATGAGGAAGGTTGAGAACCACTCACTTCAATGATAAAGTCAGCCCTCTGAGTGTCATGAAGGAAGCCTGGCAGTTTTGCATTGACCACCTTGGAAACCCACCGGACGGTTCTCCTCTGTCCTACAGGGTCACTATGAGTCAGAATCGACTCGACGGCAGTGAGTTGGGGTCTTTCGGCTGAGTTGGGTGTCCTGAAATTAGCTTTCATCAAGTCAGCCAGGGTGATCTTTTTAGCCACACCCTTCTCCTGCTGAAGTGCTTTCTAGGACCTCCCTGCTCTCAGGCGGAAGGGACCCTTTTCCTTTCCTGCAGGCTGTCACCGGATCTGACTTCTGGGTCTCTCCAGCCTCATCTCTGCCCTCCTTCCCCTGCTCACCCTGCTCCAGGACCTCTACCTTCCCCTCGGCACCAGCAACACACCTCCAACTAGAGGGTCTTTGTTCTCGCCATTCGCTCTGCCTACACTGTCTTTCCTTTGGCCTCTGCTGGAAGAGAGTTGCTCTTCTGCTGAAATAGCCTCTGAGCAGACAGGTCCTCTCTGATCATCCCGCCTGCAGTCACTTCCTTTGTCACTCCGCCCTCTGTCCTCCAGTTGCCATTGAGTTCATTCTGACTCAGAGCGACCCCTTGTGTGTCGGAGTAGAGCTGGACTCTAGGGATTTCAATGACAAATTGATAAAGTAATTAATAGATCATTCTTCCAAAGTATCTTTGGGTAGGCTTGAACCACCCACCATTCGGTTAGCAGTCTGGGCCATTAACAAGTTTCACTACTCAGTGTCTTCCCAGCAAATGCTTTTAAATGATCAAACTCGATTAGGCCCTCAAAGGACACAATGGATTGCGTGTTAGGTTGCTCACCACCAAAACCAGCATTTCAAACCCACCAATCTCCCCAAGGGAGAAAGAAGAGGCTGTCTGCTCCTGTGGAGATTGAAAGTCACAGAAACCCAGTTTCTAGTCTTTCCTCTAAGGCTGCTCCGAGTCAGAGTCAACTTGATTGCAGTGAGTGTGGTCTATGAGGCCCTCGAGTTCCTCCAGCGGATTCCACACACCTTCCAGCCAAGAAATCCCAACAAAGCGGTTCTAGTTCACCCTGTGGGGTCACTATGAGTTGAAATTGATTCCATGACTCACACCCAGAACCATCACAAGGACGTTGACAAAATCAGGAAAGGCAGAGAGTGTGGGATCTGAAAGAGAGCACATGTCCCTACAGGTGCTGCTACAAGGGGGCAGTGGTGGAGACGCCACTGGGTTCCTGGGCTACTGTCCTCAGGAGAACGCGCTGTGGCCCAACATGACGATGAGGGAGCACCTGGAGGTGTACGCTGCAGTGAAGGGGCTGAAGAAAGACGACGCCAAGGTCGCCATCACCCGGTACCTGTGGGCCGTTATAGACGGGGGAGCGGGGAGTGTAGGGCAAGTGGACAAGGCAGCAGAGGGGAAGCTGGGCTTGACAACTTAGGAGAACCCCCCAAAGGGAGACCCTAAACCCCAACCCAGGGAGATTTGCAATGATACACTGGTTTCCTGGATTTCAAAGTGTACATTTTTCTTATATGGATGGAGCAGCAAAAGGAAAAGGGGGTGGAGGGTGGAATAAAGCAAATGTTCAATGGAAGCATTTATGAAAAATACTAAAATCTAAGCATAAAAAAATGAGACAGTTGCCACGGAGTTGATTCCTGATTCCTGGTCATCCCATCTGTCAGAGTAGACCTGTGTTCCACAGGGCTTTCAGCAATCACCAGGCCTTTCTTCCAAAGGGCTGCTGGGTGAATCAAACCATTAACCCTTCCATTAGCAGCCAAATATGTTTAAAAATAATGATAATAATAATAAACACTCTTTTTTCATGGGATAACTACTTGGGTGGGTATCATAAAATGTACTTACATTTTTTTTCCAAGCAAAACTCTCTTTGGGGGGTGGGAATGAAGGGGAAGAGGTATCAAAGGCAATGCACAAGGTGCCAGACCTTTATCTCTGAGCTCTGCTCACTGTGATCGCAGTCCTGCTGGCACCTTTCTCCGTTCACATGTTCACATTCTTCACGGTCAAGACCAGAGACCTTAAGGCTCTATTGTGTTTCTACCAGGTTAGTGGATGCGTTCAAGCTGCAGGACCAGCTGAAGGTGCCTGCAAAGGCCTTATCCGAGGGGATCAAGAGGAAGGTAGGAGCGGGGCTCAGGGCCACTCCCCAGCGCTCACAGACGGGGCCTGACCGGGACCCTCTCATTCCAGCTGTGCTTCGTGCTGAGCGTGCTGGGGGGGCCGGCGGTGGTGCTGCTGGACGAGCCGTCCACGGGGATGGACCCCGAAGGGCAGCAGCAGATGTGGTGAGCACAGTGACCATGGCCAGGGCTGGCCACACAGGCCTGGTGGGGAATGTGTGAGTTGTTTTTATTCTGCACACACTGCCCCTCGAATAGTTTCTGGGAGCAGAAAAGGTTGTCAAGATCATATCGTTAGTACAACTCATAGCTCAAAAACAAAAGAGTTCACGGGGAGTATTGTAATTGCTCCTTTGGTTTTTGTTAGGTGGAGACGATGGTGCAATGGTTGTGTGTGTAGCTCAGTGCGTTCTCTCACACAACACTCTCTTCACGTGGATCTAGACTCTATCGGTCATTGCGGCGGCCAGAGACACTGAACTCATGAACCGTATTCATGGTTAAAGGGTTCCCTAAGGACATGAACAGGTTGCAACACAGAGGAGAAATGCTCAGGATACAGATTTTCTGTTAGAACATGGTACAGCGTTCTTTGAAGGCTGTTAATAAATGCCCAAAGGGCCTGCCACCCTGCTGTAAGTCTCAACCCAAAGGCGTTTAGCTCAAGCTCGGTGGGTCAGCCAACGCAAGTGTCCCAAATGAAGCGCTCAGAAGCACGCCTCCCCAGTCAGCTGCAGTCTGAGAGCACTGGGCTCCACCTCTGTGAGTCAGCAAGCCCAGCTCTTCTAGTTAAGAACCCCAGAATCACCCCCCTCCCCAAGCCGGCCTCCGGCACAAACCCACTCAGCTTCCCTTGCTCTCGGGGCTGGGGACCCACCGTCTGTCCATATGCTCTGGCTCCTGGTTTGCCGCTGCTGCTCCATCCCTCCTCTGATGTCAGAGCTGTCTCCTGGATCCAGGAGGTTCACTGCGCCAGGGATCTCGGGGTCCAGAGGACCCACTTTGCTCCTGGCTCTCGCTCGGCATGAGATCCCCTCTCTCCTGCTGCTCAGAGCTCACCTTGTTCCCAGCCAGATCTCGAGCCAATGAAGCCTGTTAACAATTACCCACAGGTGACTCCTATCAGTGTCCGCCCCCCACCTTCTGACCTAGACCTGGGCTAGAAAAGGCTGTTTGGTGGGAGTTAGAGACGGGCGAGAAGAGGTACATCAAATAATTCGCTGGTCTGTACACTGCCACCCAGTTGCCAATAGTGAGCATGAGCCTGTCTGAGGCGCCTTCCAAGCACACATGGAAAGATGCTGGCATTTTACCATGACTTTTGGAAGCCCTAAGGCAGCGGTTTGCAACCTTCCTAATGCCGTGACCCTTTCATACAGGTCCTCATGTTGTGGTGACCCCCAACCATGAAATTATTTTCGTTGCTACTTCATCACTGTCATTTTGCTAATGTTATGAATCAGGCAACCCCTGTGAAAGGGTCCTTAGACCCCCAAAGGGGTCCCAACCCACAGGTGGAGAATTGCTGCCCTCTGGTGTTACGTTGTAAAGGGTGAGGTTTGTGGGCCTGGAGCTTTGTATCTCCATGCTGTGTATTTGTGTTCTCCATGTGACCACGCCTGGCACGGCCTTCGTAGTAAGCATTCACTGCTGCTTCATATTTCTCGCTCAGCACTAGGGCAGCTGCGGGTATCTGCCGCCTTCACCTGGAGGCCCCTTCCTCCCCTGACTCTTACCTTGCAGAATCTTAACGCTTTGCCAAGTGATTCACATTCGTGCCAGTTAAAAATGCCTTCCTCAATCCTTTCTTGGATTAATTAAAGGACTTCCTGTAATGGCTAGGATCCTCGTTTCATTTTAGGCAGGCGATCCGGGCCACCATCCACAACACGGAGCGGGGTGCCCTCCTGACCACCCACTACATGGCCGAGGCGGAGGCTGTCTGTGACCGTGTGGCCATTATGGTGTCGGGGAGGCTCAGGTGGGTGCTGGACTGCCCCCAGGGATCAGCACAGGGG